ACGTTAACATGACATCAGCTGTGACATCATCTGTGATGGACCTCAGTTCATCAGAGCAGACATTAGCCGTTTATAATATTAGAGATGATGGTACTGCATATGTACTGCTGTATTTCTCAGAGCTCTCAGACAGAGATGGGAGCAGTCTCCATGGTTACCTCCTCAGCGGTCCAGAAAGACGCCTCAGCCTTCTTGTACATCTGCCAGATGTCGTGGTACTGGATGGGGAAGATGACAAAGCGACGAGGGTTTTCCTTCAGCAGAGGCTCCTCCTCTTTCTCCCTGCTGCTGCTCTTCTTCACTGCTTTGGGCTGAGAGACAAAACACACAACTGTCAACCGAATTGTTCAGGATTTGAAAAGTCTAAACACATTTGTGAGAGAAAAAAGAAAGTGTTTTTTTTTTTTTTTAAATTTTGTCTGAGGGTACCATACAAATTCACATTGTTGTATCTTGTGCATTATACATTTTTTTGGCTACATTTTTCCCTCCTAAAAGTTTTTGGTGATTTCTCTTTACACATTTCAGGCAATTTTGAAAGAAAATGTGACCGCTGTCTTTTGGCCAAAATCACTACATTTATCAGCCAGAAACTTTAAAAAATAGGAAATTATTGCTAGAGTGCTGCTGATTGTCCTTGGACACATCATGTCTGACAAATGCATCCCTCAGAAAAACAAACAAATCTGAGCTTAAAATAGTGACACTCAAAATCACTTTATTCTACTTTTTAAAATTTGGCCAAAAATGGATTGTTTGCATGACAAGAGTGAAAAACTGAGACTTATTAACCTCCAGGGTTTCATCTTACAACTTTTAACTTTCAAACAGCTAATTTATGCTTGAGAGAGGGTCAAAGAAAGAAAATAAAAAAATCAAAACCCAAGTCATATCCCAGCCTCCCCCCTCCTGATAAGTTAAGAACACTCCCAGATAAACAGCAACAGCTGTCTGTTTGGCGCCAGAACCATATTTTAGGCGCCACATGAGCACAATAATCAACACTAATTAATAATGCTGTATTTTAATATGAGATGAAGATGATGTGAGTTAGATGAAGATGATTAAAGGTTTCAGCAAATCTGTACTCACCGCAGCGTCGTCGAAGATTTTCCGCGCGGTTTTAGACGCCAAGATCCGGGTCGTGTTCAGACTCGGAGGCTGAAAGATCAATGACAAGAACCCCTCAGTGAACAGATCAATACTCTGATACTGGATCAATACTCTGATACTGGATCAATACGTTTGATTGATGACATCAGACTGAAACACACATTAACTACAGGACCGTCACAAGATGGCTGCCGTGAGGTTAAAGTGTCCAACACTGTGCTGGGACCTTAAAGTGAAATGAGACGTTATAATGACACATGAAACATGAGTGTGTGTCTGAGTTCTCACCGTGTTTTCTTTGTCCAGCGACATGTTGTTGACCTGACTGATGACGCCGTTTTCATCCTTGACGGAAAGAGGAGAGCGAGCAGAAAGCATTTTGATTTCCTCCCTTCACGCGGACACACGAATAAAAGACACGTTAACCGATTAAAAGTCGGTTAAAAAGAGAAGCAGCAGCAGCAGCAGGTTTATTGCGGAGCGGCGGACACAGACAGAGAGCAGACACACTGAAGCGGCTTCTGACCGCTCGAGCCTTTTTTATTGAAATCTTGGCGCTAGAACGCAGCCGGCCAATAGGAACACAGCTCGTGTTGGCTCTTTAACAGTGACGCTGAGACGGAGCCAATCAGGTGGAGAGCAGCGGTCACGTGACGCCCGGGCAGCTGCGGGAGATTCAAACGTCTTTGTCTGTGAGAAGTTACAAAACTGTCCGAAACCGGTATTACAAAACTGTTAAAATCAGCGTTTACACAACGTTTATGATTTAATAAAAACACGCGTTTATTTTACAGTAAAAACTGTTAAACTGTGATTCTGACACTCAGTGTGAGAGGGAAACATTACTGTTACAATCCCAGAAAATAAATCTGATTTCCGTGATAAGATTTCAGCTCTTTATTGTTTCATAAACGTCTGAAAGAGTGTGAATGAGTTAAACTGTCTGACATCATCCTGTTTTTATTTCAGTATCACAATAAATGTCATATTAAATATGTGTCCGTGTTTATAGCGTTAATTTCTGGAATTTCTGGGTCGTTTCCCGCTGCCGCCAATTTTTTTTTGTTTGTTGTTAATTTCATATTGGCGGTGTCCGAGAGACATTTCAGCGCCTAAAATCATTTCAAACACCACGTTATTATAACTCTACATTCAGAGCTGTCGTTTATATTTCCAGGTTTGAGAATTTAACCGAACATAGAGGATTTATCCTAAAACATGTAACACAACAAAGGAACATATTCCGGGTATTTGGCGAGTTATTAGTCTGAACCAGGACGTTATAACATTTAAAGTGTAGATTATTGTGTGTGTGTGTGTGTGTGTGACGATCTGTGCGTGTTGTGCTTCTGATTAAATCGAGTTTCAGTCTTTGAGGTTTAATATAATATTCGCCTAATTTCCCCTCGAAACAGGAGAAGCTGACTGATCAGCTGTTTCCGGAACGGAGCGCTCTGATTGGCTGCCTGAGAAGACAACAACACAGCCTGTGAATGTAGGTCAGCAGGTGGAGTCGCCCCCTGTCGGCAGGAACGAGAACTGCAGGTTTATATCTGCTAACACACAGGAAACAAACATCCCTGCAGCATAGAGATAACTACACACACACACACACACACACACACACACACACAC